GGTGGGGAGGGGTGGGGAGGGGAGGCGTGGGCCCGGGGAGGTACTGAGGGGAAGGTCTGTAAGTGGAGTGGCCTGGGAGCGGGAGGGAGGGGAAGGGGGCAGGGGGGGTTCCTGTGAGGAAGCAGCTATCCAGTGCCTGAAGGGGCTACAAGAAAGGTGGGGAGGGACTTTTTACAAAGGCAGTTAATGATAGAACAAGGGGTAATGGCTTTAAACTGGGAGAGGGCAGGTTTAGGTGAGATATTAGGAAGAAATTCTTTCCTGTGAGGGTGGTGAGACACTGGCTCAGGTTGCCCAGAGAGGTGGTAGAAGCCCCATCCCTGGAAACATTCAAGGTCAGGTTGGATGGGGCTCTTGAGGCTTTGAGCAACCTGGTCTAGTGGAAGGTGTCCCTGCTGATGGCAGGGGGGTTGGAACTGGTTGATCTTTAAGGTCCCTTCCAACCCAAACGATTCTATGATTCTATGAAGCTGGGAGGGATGTGGATCTGGTCAGCAGCTGTGCTGTTGCCAAGGCTGCAGCTCACTTGCTGGGTTTCTTGGTGTAGGTGCAGCTGGTCTTCTGCTGAGAGGGTGCTCACCATGCTTGATGTAGTACTGTGTGTGAAGTTAATAGAAATGTGCACTTTATAGGTATTTTCATGGCGTCATCATTCATATTGAGTTTTGAAATGAGAAATGCTCTAGTAGATAAAGCTTATGGATTAAGTCAGAAAACCAGAAGATACAGTAAGAACATAATAAGATAATACATATTATGGAACAGTATGGAAAGTTACTCTAGTTGTTTAATGCTATTGAATCTTATAAACTATATTTTAAATCAGAGTGAGGAAGGCTTGGATACCAGAGAAAAGACTTTTAAGAAATGATTGGGTGGAGAAGACTGAGACTGCTTTCTGCAATGAGAATTGTGTTATTTGGGACATAAAGACCACATTGAACAAACCTTTCTAAAACGGAATGCGCATCATAGTGGGAAGCTTATCTGTCACAGTGGCCTCTACACAGGAGTGTTGGCATCTAAGGCAACCCTTGCTTTTCAGAGAACAAATGTGCAGACTGACAACATGGCTTTTAGAATGAACATTAGATGACAGACTGCTTCTTCCACAATCCGTGGTGTTGTCTTTCTCCACAGATGCTTGAATCATCTGAACTCTTTGTATGTGGACTGAGTTGAGCCTGATCCGTTCTGCTTTTCTCTCTTAAGTTAGCACACAGGACCTGCTCTGCAAAAACTGTTGCTGTAAAGATAGTTTGCTAGAGTAGACTCTAGCTCTGTGGCGCGTGCTTTTCTTTTAGAAGAGAATAAGCAACATTAAATTTGAGAGACTGTAGTGTGAGTTTGAGAGAGGTGATAGTTGTGGATAAACTGATATACAATAACCTCTTCCTTTAGAAACTGTGGCTCGTGACTCCCTTGTACGTTGTTAGGCATTGTGAGAACTTGTGATTGAAAATTACAGTTCTGGGAGATAAGGATCTGTTAGCCTGGGATACTTGATGTTCTTGTTTGTAGAAGTAGAATGTGTAGCGAATATACTGGTTTTGAGAAAGACTGTGGTGGTAGTAAGTGTAAATTTGCTTTATTTTATTTAGAGCAATGTATTGTTAGGAGTGACTCTGTGTCTTTAACAATCCTACAGGCTGCCTATACAGCCCAGTTCCTCATGCTAGATATGCTGCTGTTTGCAGTAGCGGGAAAAAGGCAGGAGTCATCCAAACGAGGTACCTGGGAAAATCAAATCATGCATGTCTACTTAAAATAGTTCCAGATTTGGCAGTGTTAAGTGAGGGCAACACGTTCTTGATCTTTGGGACAGGCTTGCTAGATGTAGTTATTCCTCTCTTAGTATTCTTGAATTGCGTGCAACCTGGGCTTATTCTTCACCAGTTACTTCAGTTCATACCCACACGTATGCCGCTTGCGCAGGCTCAGTGCCTTCCTTGGAACTCGGGAGGCTGCACAGCTGGATCACATCAATAGAGGGTGTCTGTAGCAGGGAGGAGAGATTCTTAAGATCTGTACTTCTATAGGATCTAGCATAATAATGTAAACAGCTGGGAGTTCAGGATTTTCCCATTTAATTTTTGAACCTTCTTGTCTTATATTCATACCCCTTCAGTAGACAGTTAAACTGTCTAATTTTATATGTGATTACTTTCTGCAGTAAGAGTCTACAGATTTATTTTCATTGTAGTATCTAGTTTGTGTTACTCTGCTCAAACTAGGTCACCTTGACTGAGGGTGGCTGCATTGCCTCAAGCACCCAGACTTGATTAGTAATTCATAATTAGTGTAAGCTGTAGCTGAACCCTAGCTGTGTTCATTGTTCAGTCTTCCAGCACCTTAAATCAAGCTCCTCCATGGGCTTGATACATCTGCAGGAGATGCATTCAGGCAGCGCTTCTGTTCATGGCGTTGCACTCCTGTACGCTCGGGGAGGGACAGGGCTTTGAACTAACACTGAGAACTGAATGCCTCCTTGCTCACAGAGTCTGAATGTGACTACTAGGATCTTTCTATACTGTGATCTACACAATGAATGCAGTGTGTGTACTGTTTGAAAAAGAGAGAGGCAGTTAAGGCAGGTTGGATCAAATTTCTATGCTGGCAGGCAGAGTTTGGCTTCATAACTGTTATGTCAATATAAAACTATTGCACTACTGTGCACATACTTGAAGTCTTAATCTTACAAGAAATACTGGTGTTAGATTTAGCTCAATGAGGGCCTGAAGTTCCTGAATGCTGAATATTTTGAATATTTATACACAATATGTGATTTCCTTAATGTTCATCAAAACAAATTCTTATCAGAAATCTTTGGATTCTTAGGTTTTGCATAAGGGGTGAAGGGGGTAGACTTAAAGAGTATTTAGCCACAAATTTAACATTTAAAATGCACAATGCCCAACTTTTCCTGTCTAATACATAGATTAGAATGCTGAAAAATTTTTTACCACAAAAAAACACAAAACACAGCACCTTTGTGAGACAGTAAAAAATGTCAGCAGCGTTAAGTTCCCTTTCTGCTAGACTTTCTGCCAAACTGTAAGAAAACCTTACCCGAGTCCCAAGCACTGTATAGCGTTGTCTGAAATTAAATATTAGTTAATAGGTAATTGCATTTCATTTATTAGACTTTGTAATGGTGGAATTTCTAGTTGAGTGATAGGCCAGTGAATCACTGATACTGCCACCACTACCCTTAGCAAAAGCCTGGGGTTTTGGAGCAAAGTTGAGAAGAAATCATTGGTTGATCTTTAGCAATTGCAACTTAATGTGTAACTGCTGTGTGCATAAGTGCACTTGCCAGTGCTAAAAATTATCTGCATGATTTTAAAAAGGTAGGGTTGTGGTTAGTGAGCTAGATGACGTTGCGGGAGCAAGGTCCACCAGTGTGCTGCTGTGTTGTCAGTCTTGTACTGTGTTGTGTTTGATACCATTGTCGTGAAGATATTTGAATGCAGTGATGTTTTAAATTTTTTTCACCAGTTAAGATTTTTTTTAATGTAAATGGAGAAATTGGAAATACTGCCTGAAGGAAATCTTCATGTGAAAAAAACTTTGTTACTCAGTTTCTGCTAGAAGAGTAAGGAAAAAACTTTGCTGGAGCATTTGCTTTTAATGACGCTTCTGAAGAAGAATACAAGCTATAAGAAAAACATAGTTTATTTTTTTCCATAGTGTATTTAATACATATTATAATGTATCCCACAAGAAGAATGAGTAACAAACCGAAAAACAAAAGAAAGAGCAAGGTAAGTTTTAAAATGAAGTGATTAGCAGTGTTTTAGTTGAAAAGTGCCATGTATTTGGGGAACAGCTGACAATGGTAGCTAGCTTATGGCAGGGAACAGAGAAGAAACCTGTATCAAGTACGAGGAAGATGGAAGACATAAATAGCTACATTTTAAAGTGAGAAATACAAGGTTTAATTTTTATTTAAAAAATACAGATATGAAAGATTACATATGGGGGGGAGAAATGTATTTTTTAATTTGTTCAAATTTGGTGGTTAAAATATTTGTATGTTTGTAAAATCTTGTTCGTAACCAGTCCAGCAGCGCTTGCTAGATTCAGAAATGTCTGTGCACCCTCAGTACCATCTGGGATGTTTATCATAGAATCATAGAATGGTTTGGGTTGGAAGGGACCTTTGAAGTTCCAACCCCCCTGCCATGGACAGGGGCATCTTTCATTAGATCAGGTTGCTCAAAACCCCATCCAACCTGGCCTTGAACACTTAGAATGATGGGGCTTCCACAACTTCTCTGGGCAGCCTGTTCCATGTTCCAGTGTCTTGCTACCCTCACCATACAAATTTCTTCCTTATATCCAATTGAATCTTCCCTCTTTCAGTTTAAAACTGTTGCCCCTTGCAGCCCTGGTAAAAAGCCTCTGTCTGTCTTTCTTAAAAGCACCCTTTATATATTGAAAGGCTACAATAAGGTCTCCCTGGAGCCTTTTCTTCTGCAGTCTGAACAAACTCAACTCTCTCGGTCTTTCTTCATAGGAGAGAGGTTCCAACCCTCTGATCATTTTTGTGGCCTCCTCTGGACCTGCTTTAACAGGACCATGTCTTTCCTGTGCTGGGGGCCCCAGACCTGATCGTGGTACTCCAGGTGTGGTCTCATGAAAGCAGAGTAGAGAGAGAGAGAATCGCTTCCCTCGACCTGGTGGCCATGTTTCTTTTGATGCAGCCCAGAAAATGGTTGGCTTCTGGGCTGCAAGCAGGCATTGCCAACTCCTGTTCAGTTTTTCATCCACCAGTATCCCTAAGTCCTTCTCTGCAGGGCTCTTCTCAACCCATTCATTCCCCAGTCTGTATTGATATTGGGGATTGCCCTGGTCCATGTCCTTGTCCTTGTTGAACTTCATGAGGTTTCTTCCATCCATTTATTTCTATACATAAACTGTTTGTTGTATTAGATCCCACTTCTGGTGAAAAGAAGGCTAATTTGAGTCCAATAGAAAGAAGGTATATGGAGTAGAACTTACTTCTGAGGAAAGTGGTTGTATTATTGAAAGCAGCATGTTAATTGTGTGTTATCCAACACAGGGAAGAGGGCAATGTGTGTGTGAAAGCGTAGAAGGAAGTCTTGTAAAAATAAGTTCTTCAGGTTCTGTGAGCTAGCTCTTGCTCCACCTTCCAATTGTGCTTTTCTTCTTTGTTGCCAGCGTATTATATTTGTGTAGCTGTAGCATCCACACTGGGTTCACATTTAATTTGAGAAATATGAGAACACACTCCTGTTTCTTTAATCTGCTCTGTTGATTTCAAAGCAAATGCCCAGGAAGTGTGTCTGTACATTTCCCCCTGAAATGGTGTGCTGTACTTTACACTCTGGTTTTGCTTCTGTAAGGCAGCCTCAGTCAGTGTTTATTTTCTGACAGATCCCAAACATAGAACTGAGTGTACTGGCACACAAAACTTAAACTTTGCCTTTTGCAGTTTTAAGAGGCTGGTTGTCTGCTTCTGTTTGGCTCTGTATTATAACTGATGTGCAAGTGCCTTTTGTTTGGTTAAGCAATCTTAAAAGTCATTAATCATAATATGGAATAAGAGCCAGCAATAGCAGTTACTCCTGTAATTTGGCTTTTTATTGGAAAAGACCATCAGCGGTGAAAACATTTCACAGCTGGGCTGGAAGGAATGTAACTCATGTAATGTCACCACTGTGAGGACTGGAAGCGTAATAGTAGTTAGTAATTTATTTTTTAAATTTGACTTTCCTTGTGATAGAGTAGGGAGGAGTAAAGGAATAGTTGCCAGCAGAGGTTATTTTTAAGTCAAATCTTTTGGTAAATGAATAGACAATAATACAAACATTAATTCTGTATCCTGTTGGAAAGGCCTCATTTCACCATTTGGTGTTACTCTGTGTGAGTTTGTTTTCGATAGGGTGCATCCCTAGGCCATCACCTAGGAAGGCTTATGTGACTTAGTGGAATCCATTGCTAATTGGTTTTTTTTATTGCGTTAGCTACTTGAGATAGCGTTGGGTGCTTGGGGTTTTTTGGGTGCTGATTTCTTTTTTTCAAGTTTTCTCTGATATTATCTTAAAATTTCAGAAATTAAAGGAAAAATAAATTTAATATAATAAAAAGTGAGTCAGCTGCAGTGACTTGTAACAAAAACTTTCTCAGTAGTTCAGGCTGAATTAATGAAATATGCAGAATACTGGATAGTTTGGGATACTGAAAGAACTTCTAGTGTAATTGACACAGAAGAAATGCACAAATCAAAAAGATGAAATTTGGATCATTTATACATGAACTGTCATCTTTATTATTTGTAAAATAATATGTGAAAATGTAAGGCACCTCAACCTTAAAATTTCAATGAGTCTAAAACATGCTAATCAACTAGATACTTCATGTTAGACAAAGTTGAGTCTTAACAGTTCTGTGCTCACTTTATCTTAATATATTTGTATTAGCATGGTGTGAAATTTTGGGAGTGCCTGGATCTGTGGAGTTGCCCTTTCTCTTTTGTTCTTGCACATGGTGTTAGGAAAGTCTCTTGAGTTTAACTAAAGAGTATTTGAAATAAATTAGTCATGATTCCTTCTAGAGTTCTCTAGTGTTTTAGATACCTCAAACTCAAGTAATCCTGACAGATTTTGAAGCCTCCTTCAAACTCATGAAACATATAAATTCATAAAATAATCCTTAATTTTGTACAAGATTTTGTTACTGTAGATATGTAGCAGCTGAGAAGCTCAAAAGTTTACACCATCAGATCTTTAAAAGGCAAAATCTTAAGGTTAAGAAAAGTTCTGTAATTTTCTTCTTGTTGCTCCTTTATTAAATCCTGATTAATATTAGCGAGTTTTGTTAGGAATGGATAGAGGAAAATACAATACATAGGGTATGTTTACTGTTCGTTAAGTCAAGTTGATTATGTTCCTTTTGGCCTAATGTATTTCATCTGCAAACATTAGAATTTACCAGCTTTTAGGAGGGAAAGTGTGGGAATGATATAAAAGTAAAATGTAAAATATGAAATTTTAGCCTGTGCTGGAGAAGTTACTAAAGGAGATGAAAATCTGCAAGCCAGAAATGTATTGATTCTGTCTGAATGAATGTTATGAAATGGAAATATGTTTCCCCTTGAGAAAAACCTGCTTCCTTTAAACAAGTATTTTTCAGACTTTGCACAGTGTGATACTTTGAGCTGGAGGTATTACTTCCTGTTTTGTTTTGTTTTCTGAGACTGTGAAACCTTTCCAAGGTCCTCTTCCTTTATACTTCTGAGGAGAACAACTCTTCACGTAGTATCCATCTGCGTTTTATCCGCCTGTGCATACTGACGTCAGATGTTCCGTGGCGGTAAATACCATCTTGGCTTACTTCATGTTGACCTCCGGAATAGACCTGCCTGTGACCTTTTCTTCCCTTGCCTTCCATATTGCTAGCTGTAGGGTGTGTCTACGTCATATACTGAATAAAATATGCAGAAGTTATTTACTTTTTCTGTATCTAGACTAATAAAAGAAAAGAATAATGAGCCTAGTCACTGAGTTAACAGACGCAATAGGCTACAGTACAGTCGATGAGTTGCAGGTACTTAGCACCTCTCATTGTAAGATACAGTTCAAAAGTCACTGAATTAATGTGACCACTCAACTTCCAGTCTTTGAATTGGCAAACCTAAATTTCTTTTGGCAGAGTACCAAGTAGTCTGTCCAGAGACCAGTAAGAAATCTAAGCCTAGTTGTAGCTCCGTACAGGAATGCATTGGGAATTTTCACTTCATTGTTGGTTTAAAACAATCAAAGTGTGAGCTGTTACTGAAGACAATAGTTCATTTAGTATATGACTGCACAGTCTGTTGCCGTGAGGGCAGCAGGAACTCATGGCTGGAAGAGAGCGACTACACCTCTGGTAGTAATCTGTAAATCTAAACCTGCTGTGAAGCTGGTTCAACTGTTTGAAGTTTAGTACTTGGCTCCAGTCCTCAGTTTGCACAAGTTCTATGGACTCATACACAGCTCTTTTGAAAGAAAGGAAGGGGGACCAGGAGGGCTGATGACATATTATGTGTGCTCACCAGAGGGTGGATATTTTATTGGCATACATAAGTTTCAGGACTCTAGTTCCTGCTCTGCGAACCGACTGTTTGTTAAGTACAGCATGAAACTTGACATACCTGTTCTCTACAAGCCCGTCTTGCTGACCACTGACAGGACAACTTTTAACAAATATCCTTATTTCAGCTATCACACTGGATACTTGAAGTCTATTTTGTGTGAATTTTGGAAAGTCTTAAGCTGCTTTAGTGACTTATGGTAAAGAAATATTTGTTTTCTGCTACTGGCACCTTTTTGAGACACATTGTCTGGGGAAAGTTCCCTGTTTTTATCACAAATACTGAAGACAAGACTGTAGTTAAAGATAATATTGTGGTATGTATTCCTTATGGCTTTCCTGATGGGCTTATTAAACTGTTCTGCTTATTGGTATGTTTTCATGCTAAATACTTTGATACTTGCTCATAAACAAGGTATTAGTTTTAAAATTACATTTTAAGCTGCTTAGTAAATAGATGATTGTATTTCAGCAAGAAATTAATGTGAACATTATTTTCTGATATTGTGATCTATTTTGAAGGTTAAGGAATTGATCTCAGAGTTTTGAACATTTTTTAAACCCTTTGTCACTTCACAGGCTCACAGAATGCAGAAATTTGGGCCCGAATTCAGGAGAGATGTGTATTCCCATTATCTGTATTTTGTTCAGAAGCATTTTGAAAACTAAACCAAAAAGTTTAAAAACTTAATTATCTGTAAGTGTGCTTTCATTAAATTTAGTGTTCTTCATCTTAAGTGTTTCCAGATTGTCAGGTCTCAATACTAAAAAATGAGGTAGATGGAAAAGGTGGAAGAAATTGTGCAAGTCATCTCACATAAATGTGCATTTAATGATGTCAGTTTTCTCCAGCAGCATAGGCAGACCTTTTCATTAAGTTCAGTTCTGTATTTTCTCTCAGTGGATTTTTTTTTTCTTTCCCCTTTTCTCCCTCTGTCTTCTCTATACTGTTGGTATTTCTCCAAGGAGTATGATCTCTGACCTTATATGTCCCCTCTTCATCCCTTCATGGGAACTGTTCTTCTGTTTCTCCTTCTTGTTCTCAGCTATAGCAAATTTGTTCTTCAGAGATGTTCCTCTGACTAACTGATCTTTTCAGTTTTGTTGTTGGGGATGCATAATTCCACAGCTAACATCCTCATGTTGTTCCACCAGAACCTGTGGAAAAAGTTAGTAAACCTCCAGTGCTGTCTGCAGCTTTCTCCTCTGTCATGCTTTACATTTCTGTCTGATTTATATTGTCCAGTGCAGTTGTGTCTTCAGTATTTGTCTCTTTAGGAAGTTAAATGAGATGATAGTTCATACAAAAGTATCTTCTATTAAGATTCCTTAAAGAAATCCTTGTGTCTTTCTTCCTCCCTTTCTGCATCCTGGCATCTTTTCTTCCTCCATGGCCAGTATGCTTTTACAGATATTTTTACAGCCATATGATTCTTGAGGTAAACAGTTTTTATTGTGTACGGTATGAGTTAATGTGCTTCATATCTCTGCAGCTGTTGGCAATTCGTATTTGTTTGCAGGTCACTGCAATGTCTCTTAAGTATCCATGCCATATGGGTATTAATTTGACTTTATGTACTTGACTGGATAAGATGTTTTAATGCTTAGAGACAAGATAAAGGCAAGTCAGAAATATTTGAATAGCACAGCTCTCCAGATCTTTGAAAAAATAGCAGTGAAAATTATTATGAAATGCATCCTGAGCTAGAGAAATGCTGTTGGCAAGAAACAGCTTCAATTTCAGCTACAAATATTTAGAGTTCCCAGCACATCCTTCAGCAGTGTGTACAAAACTAGATAGTTAATGAGTGAAAACTTGTGTACCTGTAGGTGTGAAACATGGATAGGGACAGCTCTGGCATATGCATCCAATACATACTGCTCGTGCTGTCTCTGGACTTGTAAAAGTGAGAACCGCATTCATTGTCCTGACTTGTTACTGTTTTGCTTTTACTTGAAAACATAATTGTTAACTTTTAATTACTGAATTGATTTAACTTTGTCGTTACAAAACACTGCTGTATTTTTTAATATGTGGGCAGTGAAAGCACTACTAGTTAAATTTTTATGGAAAGCATTAATTTCTGTGTGCCTGGAAGTTCTTTATACTTAATATGAAGAACAGCAGAAAATTATGTAATATTCTGAATAGCAGTGATACATTTTTTAATTTTCTTGTAATATATTATGCTTGCAAAATGAGAATTGCTTTCTCTATTAGTCTCCTGCACAAAGTTAATGCATTAATTGGTGACAAAGGGCAAAGAAAACCATGTCTGCTTGCTGGAAGTTCATGGTAGAGATGAGGATGATACAGCTTTACTAATGTAAGGTTTGTGGTGGTCAGTGTTTGATGAGAAAGTGTGTGCAGTCACCTAGTCGTCTATACTCAACTAGTTTTTTCCGAGCAGGATAGGTTTAGTGCTGTCTCCCCTGCAGTTGCTCCATCCCAAATCTTCCTTTCCAACCCTGCTTTCCTACAACTTTCCTTTTCCTTCAGCGTCAGGCATACTTCTCATTTTCATTTAAAGCAGCCCAACTCTCACCTTGTCTCACGCTGGCACTGTGTCATCTGGCAAGGCAGAGACTGCAACCTGAAAAACTTTGGAGGGGTAGAAAAATGAGATCATCTCTTCATTCTGGGAATAGCTCATTGCAGCAGGGGTACTGGGCATTCCTCAGTACCACAGTGTGAGGCCTTTTCACTTTGAAAATACCTTCTGAGCCGTCACCTACATAAAGAAATCCATGATTGACTTAACTTGGGAGATTTCTTTTGTGAAACTGGTTGTTGGAAAGCTAATTATCAGTTAGTAGTCCTTATTTTACTTTATTATTATTCAGATAATAAATATTTAATTTCCTTTCTCTATTACTTATCACTTCTCCTGATGTTCTAATATGCTTTCCCATTTGTATTCATGTATTTGAAAAACATTTTTAAAGCATTAATCTCCTTTTTCTTTTTAAATATCGGATTAGGTTTGCTGTTTTTCTTTGGCTGACCTCCTTTGATAACTTGTTTCAATACACACATTCCTAAGGGAAACATCTGTCTGCAATATTACCTTTTAAGCCTGGATTTGGGGTTTTGTTTTTTTCTCTTTCAGGAAGAAAAAAGTCAAGAAATGTCTACCAATTTAAAATACCTTTCCCTGGGCATCCTGGTGTTTCAGACCACAAGTTTAGTCTTGACCATGCGTTATTCTCGGACACTGAAAGAAGAAGGACCTCGTTACTTATCCTCTACTGCAGTAGTTATTGCTGAACTTCTGAAGATTTTGGCCTGTGTTCTATTGGTCTACAAAGACAGCAGTATGTGTCAAATTTTGCACCAAGTAATTTTCCTAATCAATATGCTGTAGTGTACTGGCAACTGCAAAGCAGCCATGTGAGTACAGGTGTATAACAAAGCATTTCCCTTCTCGTGTAAGAAATAGTCTTGAAACGGCACTAATCATACTTCACTCCTCAGCACACGATGGGAGTTGCTGTGTGTTTGCTGAAGAGAGCTCTCTTTAAAGGATGTGGATACTGCGGAGTGCAAGAATAATTTTTCTACTGACAGCTTTAAGCTTGTGCTTGCATTTTAAGAAATTCATATGTAGAAGCAGGAAAAACTGAAAAACTTTAAGTCTGTCTGAAGCATGAATGATATTTTAGAAGCCTATATTAAACAGCAGATGCAGAAGGGAAGAAGCAGTTTTAAGCTCAAAAAAAGTATATTCAGATTTACTCTAGTTCTTATTTTGTACATTTTATTCTGAATTTGTCCAGTTCCTTGACTTATGTATTTGATCTTCAACAGCTTAAAAATTGATATAATTGTATATGCATAAATATTGTTGATTCTATAGCTCGCAAATGTGCAGTTTTAGGTAATAGTCTTCAATGTGTCATCGTCAAATATTAATACAGTTTCAGTAAGTTTTACTTAAAGTATTTTGAATAATTGTTCTAGTTCTGATATTCCAGGCTACAGGAAGATGGTTTGCAGCCTTTTTTTCTTACATATATGAGGCTCATGAAAGTCAAACATACATAGTATTTTGAGGTACTGGTAGAAGTAAAAAGAGGGCAACAATCTTTTAAGAATAGAACATTGCTGTCTCTCTCTTTTTCCTCCCCTTTTAGTGAATGTCTATTTCTTTTATTGTTTCTTTGGGTAGAGTGCAATTTACGGACTCTGAACAGAGTGCTACATGATGAAATCCTTAATAAACCCATGGAAACTCTTAAACTTGCTATTCCTTCAGGAATTTATACTCTTCAGAATAACTTGCTGTATGTAGCATTGTCAAACCTAGATGCAGCCACATACCAGGTATTGTACATTTGGATTTCTCTGTAAGTTTCAAAAAAACACGTGAATTATGCAGTAGTAACTGTTTCTGGGTTCTTCTAGGTTACATATCAACTGAAAATTCTTACCACAGCATTGTTTTCTGTGTCCATGTTGAGCAAGAAATTGGGTGTATACCAGTGGCTTTCATTAGTTATATTGATGACAGGAGTGGCATTTGTGCAGGTAAATATTAGCAGGTGTTTTGTGTTTATTTAATGTAATAATTCAAGGAACATGGATTTCTATACTGATTATACAGATTTCTGATTCTACCAGCTGCACACAAGCACCAGGGTATGGTCAGGAACTATGAATCACAACTGGCCAGGGCTAGATAACACCAGCAGTGGTTCAAAGGCAGAAGATAACACCTCTTTCATGTCCCAGTGCTCTACTGTAGAATGTGACAGGGCCTCTGGAGCAACCTGCAAATAACATTGTTATCAGTATTTAATAGCCCACTTCTTCAGACATTAGGGATTCACAGATCTTCTGTGTCAGCACAGTCCTGCTGCTCGCTTTGTGATATGATTTCAGCACGGCAAATTCACTTGAACTTTTTCAAGAGGTAAAGTTGGCCTCTGTTCTAAATAGTGCAAAGACTGGAGTTTGTTGTTTTCAGAGGGCAGGGTCATGGGATAAGAGACTATTCTAAGAATTTTTATCAGATTTTAACATATCCTATAAATTTTTGTTTCAGAACTTAAGGATTTGAAAAAAATTCTGAGGATTGAATTTGATGGATTTTTGAAAATTAATAGTTAAAAATTAGAACAAAACATTCTGATAGTAACTAACAGATTTTTCAGTATGTTTTTGTCTATGCCATTGCATTTTATTCTGTTAGCACTGGATATATTGCAGGATTTGGCTTCATAAATTTCAGCTTTAGTTGTCAACATAATCACCAAAGAGGGGCACATGCAAAAGACAATTCATCCCATCTTAAAGACAGCTGCTGTAAGTGGTTTTCTCAGTGTGCTTGTATTTGTAAGGTAACTAACTGTCAGGTGGCAAAAATTGGTGACTGTGAATGACCGTCATAAGTCATGCTGGGATTCAGAAACATTTCCAGCTTATAAAACATAAATCTTGGACCTATTTAAATTGATGGGTATTCTCCTAGTTCAGGCACAGTCTTACTCCTTACAGATATGAAGAAAGAAAAGTTATGGCTTTGCAGTCCTTTAAAAGTCCTTATGGTGCAAAATACAAAACAATCACAAGTGTGTGATTGTCTGCATTTAGTAACTGTTACTGTTGCTAGAAAACAAATGTGCATTTTATAGATGCTCATGACTTGATTTTATCAGTGAATTTTGTATAACTGTTTTTACATCCAGTG